TTTTTTTATGCAGTAACTGGACATGCTCTGTCAGTTTCATTCAAATTTGACACATACATGTACTTTATACATGTTAGGATGCATGTCCATGACAATTTGTTTCAAAATCTGGTCAAGGATGGCTGATTGACAGCCATCTGACTTTTTGGCTTTACTACTATATTTCCACAATTTATGTACCATTTTCATTTGTATTTGGCACATACATCATACATATCAGTGTGTTTCATAATCAGATCAAAGATGGCTGAATAATGGCTGTTTTTATTTTTGGCCATAATACTACTACACGAAACAAGCGTTTTGATGTAAATAAACAATCTGTTGTATACGTCACTTGGAACTCAAGTTTCAAGGACATGCTCCGCTTTAACATGACGAGCACAGAGAACTTTCAAAAATTTAACGGGGACTGTGTCATTTTTGCTGGGAAAGGATTGACCAGCCTTGTTATTAGTCCAAGAAAATTGTTCAGCTTGGAATGTGTCTGAATCCCTCATTAGTATGCAAGAATGTAGGAATGTACTAAGTAAATTGTAGTGTATTTTACTTATGAAAGGTCAAAAAGTGCATGGAGATTTTATGAAAATGTGTGGATGTTAACAGAATGATGTCGTGTGGTCACAGTTGCACAATAAATGATGGACTATTTTGGGCGTAGCTATAAAATGTGTCACCGAAGTACTCACACGTGTGCATGATTCCAATAGTTTGTGATGTGAAGAAACTCCATTAGAAAATAAGTATTGTGTAATTTGTAGTGAGAATGTATTCAAATAGATTTATGTTTATGAATCTTGTTTCTTTTCAAAGTGTATTTATATAATAAACATTGTTTATAAAAATGTTTTTTATACATTTTTCGATGGATTGAATTTACAAATGATGAGTTATTTTGTTATACCATCACTCGAATTATGTGTTACGAATTTCTGATAGTTTAGGCTTTGTGTTCTTACGAACAGAAAGACATTTAAGGTCTCATGCCACTAATTAACCAATGGCTGCTCGTAGCCTTGAAAGAACCAATGAAATGTTTTAAATATTTTTTTTGTCAGGTGCTCCCTGTTTGAGGGCGTAATCACCTGGGTCAAAGGTGAGACCAACATGTGGTCTTTTGTTTACTACTTAGCGGCTGTGCACCTGTGGGTTTATTCTGTGTGGATTTGGATGTTCTAATCTTGGTGTTTTTCCAGTGATTTCTCTAGGTGCAATCTAAATACAGTAGGTGTGTCTTGTTTACCTGAGATTTGTAAGAGTTTGAGCTGGCCAACATGTTAGTTTTTTTCATATGGTTGATTACTGGCATGTTGACTTCCCATTTTTGAGCCATGTTTTCAACTTTCTTCGTCATTTTCGTATAGCAATCTCGTCATATGTTAACATTGTCGTCTATGGAAATTCAATTAGTGGTATGAGCCCTAAACTGTACATTGTACATCGATAAAAGCGAACGTATTTTGAAAGTTGTGAAATCATGGTACTGTTTTGGCATTATACGACTTGCAGTTCCCTTTTCATGGATTTTATGTGACTGTCTGTGGTGTAAACTTATCGAACTGTAGTATTATGTAAATCTGCCTGGGAAAATATGCAAGCAAAGTTTAAATTGCCATTTTCACCCTGTATAGCTCGTGTTCCTCGGTTCATTTAAAAATCCCTTTTGAATTTGGAGGACTTTGTGTGACTGACCGTGGTGTTTGTAAACTTTAGTCGAACTGTAGTAGTGTCTATTAAATCTGCCACAACGTGGAGTTGCCATCTCTCTTGTTTACCAATGTACGTTTGTGCCTCAACGAGGACTGAAAAGTGATTTTCATTTACTTCGTCTGTTATAAATCAGCTGTATTAGCTTCTTTCGAACTTCCTATTACCATCGGGATTAAGTCTACTACACTCGGCGGTGCAGTTCGTATCAATCTTCTTGTATGAAACGCACCCGAACCCGGAAATTGACGGCAAATCGGGATGGTCTCGTCACGTAATAACTTACCTCGTTCTTGACCGCAGTATTCTTGGCTATGAACTTCCACATACCCACTCTTATGGGAATAGTGCATCGTGGGTATTACTGTATTGATCGAGGTGAAACAAACATGGCTGCCGTAATGCCTGTTGTTCGACTTCATCGCTCGTGTTCTCTTCCGGTCTTAGAGTTCACTGTTTTCTTTGATTTTTTTATTTCAATTAAACAGCGATTTGGCTGTGACCATGCATTTAGTCATTGTCGACTGTTTTTCTCGAATCGGTTGATTGTCATTGTCAAAATTTAATTAAAACTTTCTTAGACAACAAATATAACTTGGATAACGATGGAATACATGATGCAGTACTGAATTTCAACTCAATTATTGGTGATGTAGCTGATCAAACCTTTAAAAAGAAGAAATCAAACATCAAAACAAAACAAAAACATAAACAAAAAAAGTGGTTTGACAAAGATTGTAGAACCCATAAGAAAGATTTGATTTATTGTG